CGCATAACACCGGCCACCGGAAAAACCACCTCACGGTGCCCCCCCCCCCCAACCCGCTCTCCCCACGTGAAAAGTGAAAAGCTTCCCTGCCCCCAGCCGTGGGCTTACCATGGTGGCCACACGCCCGCCTGGTCGGAACTCCGCTCCCGTGCAGTCGCCGTCGCAGTGTGGCCGGTACTCGTCATCGGAGCCGTATTTGATGACGCTATACCCTTCCTGGCCGTCCATGTCCAGCTTGTATCCCGTCACGTGGTTCGCGAAGCCGTATCCCCGCCTGATTTGTGTTTTGTGTTGATGGATTTCGTGGGGGGGGGGGGTGTACTCATAGTCGTGCATGCCGTAGTCGTTAGACCATTGACCTCGCATCCCTACAAAGCCGGGACGGAGCACGCCGGGTTCTCACCGGACCAGGCTCTCACATCACCAAGCGCGAAGCGCCGTGAGGTATTCGGCGAGTCGCATGAAGGGTGAGCTGCATCCTGCTAAGGGTGTTCGGCATCTTGTGCTTACTTCCTTGCGTACGGATGACAGCTACGTATGACTTAATTTACTTTCTGGTGCTTTCACTTCCAGAGACAGTTGTAAGCACTGTGTAACTGCCTCGAGGAAGCTTGACCATTTTAACACAACGTGGTGCGAATCATCCCCCGTTGCGCGGAGTGAGGTTTCTCGACCCCGCACAACATGATCTACTCGACCACCATTATGGTTACCGCCCAAAAAAAAAACCGAAGGATAAAAAAAAAAACGGCAACCTGGTTGCCGAGTTCACGAAGTGAATTGGCTTGTTTTACAACGTCGTTGCCAAGCGACGAAAACCCAATCCCGATGGCAAACACCGAGTGGGGGGTTGTAAGCACTACTGTGTAACTGCCTCGAGTAGGGGTCAAAAGTGAAAAAGCACGTGCAGGTGCATTACGCGCCGGATGTGCTTTTTGTTCATTTCATTTTAGAGTGGCAAGGAGGGTTGTACTCATGAAAACGCATGCCGTAGTCGCGAGACCGTTGACCCCGCGTCCCTACAATGCCGGCACGGAGCGATATGCCGGGTTTTCGCGGAATGCACGAGTTATTGTAGGAAAACTCGAAAACTCAACAGTTTTGTGAGCGTCGAACTGAACTTCCGCAAATCATGTTGGCGTGTGGTACATTTTCACATCGCAAACAATTTCAGGCGACGGGCGATTGCTCTCACTCGCAGAAACAGCACCATCACCATCACCGACCGAATCAAAACTAAAACTTCCACCCTTTTCCTGTGTCGACAAGTGATCGTAGGCGGAGGTTGGTCAAATCGTGGCCATGTATCCGTTCGGGCATGTTTCGCCAAACACCCAACCCATTCGGAAAGCCGCCGCCCAAACGGTGGCTTCTTCATCGTGGCAACGAAATTTTTACTTCTCCTCTCTCCATTAAAAAAGAAAAAAAAAAGAAAAGAGGGAATGTAATCGTCATGCTCGACAGCAAGAAGACGTCGGGGATATATTTTTTTGTGATCACTTTAAACCAGCGCTCACAGCATTTCTGCCGTTTTTTTTTTTTTTTCAAATCTTCACTTCAAATCAGCGCTCACAGCACTATTAATAGTGCCGTTTACTCCAACCCGTGGTCACACAGAAGAGCTTCTCTCTACCCTCCCCCCCTGCGGTACTTTGAGGGAGGTCGAATCAATCTGTGGTCACACAGGAGGGTTCCTCTCCCTGAGGAACCTACTAACCTGTAAAGCGGTGCAGTGACGGAATTCTTGTTGTTCAGGTCCGCACCCACGCCGCCGGCCTTGGCTCGCCTGGCCTGCGAGAGGGTGGCCTTTCCCGCACCTCCGTTGACGGTCGCGTCCTGTCATGCCATGTCATTGTCACCAAGAGCCACGCCACAATTTTGTCGAAGCGAACAAGGCTGGATCCTTTTGAGGCGAAAAAAATTACACTTTCAAGTCTAGCGGGGGGCAAGCTGTTGTGTTTGCACTGTCAAAAAACCGTTTCGACCTCTCGATCCGATCCGTACTCTTCCGGTCCAAAAACAAAAAACGCATTCGTCACGCTTAAAGGTACACACGGAAATTGTACCGCAAACACTGCGTTGAAAGTTGAAAATATACTTCCAAGCACTTCGTTTCATCCACAAGCACCCAAGCCTACGTGATACCAATATCATTTTCATGTCCTGCGGCCGGGTGAGGTCAGTGTCAACATAGATGCCTTGATACTTGCTTGCCCATCATAGACAACGGAAACGTAGAATATGGTACAACAGTTCCTTGTGTGGTTCACCGTGACCAACTGCATTCTGTCATATCTATCGCGTGCAGCTTTCCACTTCAGTTCTACATCACCGCCCAGCGTACGGCCACGGCTTGGGGGTCAAAACAGCCCCTTTTCAACGCACAAGGCACCAGGCCCTCCCTTCACGCAAAGCCTCGGGGCCAAGCTGTCCAACCATGGCCAGGACCTAGACCTTGAACAACTACAATACCGCGAGAGGAGAAGTGATGGCACCCCCGCCGCAGACCGATTTTAAACGCTCGATTTCTCGACAACCAACAGTTTGTGCCAACACCAACGCTGGTGTTTCTTGGAAACATCTCGTCGAGGGCGTTCCGTCGACGAACCGGGTTCTTTCCGCACACACCCGGTTGTGGAGAAATCCAGCTTTGAAAGACGGTGTACGGGGGGGGGGTGCCATATCTCC